GATAGTAGAAATTGTTGTAGGGAGGAGGATATTGTTTTTGATGAAAAAATAGTAGACAAAATTACGGTCTGTGTATTTGTGATGTATTCGGACAGAAAAGGATAACATGGTTTTCATTGGCTATTTCATAGGCCTGGTCGCAGGAGCAATATAGGGAGTCAAAGATGTTTATTTTAAGGAAATGTGATGGTAGGCTATTGTGGTTGAGGCGAATGCGTGTTATGTGTTATAAGAAATTTTCAGGAGTTCTTTATTTAGTAATAAATTGAAGCGCGTAAAGCAACGAAGTTCCGAAGATACGATTTACATTATAAATAGCTATTTATAATCTATCTATCTAACGTAAACAGCTCATTAAATTCTGAAAAAATAAAAGAAAATACTCTTCAGAATATATGTATATTTCAGAAAAGAACTATCTCAATTCAAGTTTTTATCCCATAAAAATAAATAAAAGAATAATAAAATGAATATTAAATCGATAAGAAACTATGTTGATGACGACCTTTGAATCTAGGAGAAGACCCAGAAATAAACAAGCTGGGTTAGATAGGTCTACAAGGCAGTTGACATTCCACTCTAAGATAAACCGGTAAGAAAATAAAATCAGGCCATCCCGCCATTTCCTGACTCCCGCACGCCCCCGATCGGCCATTCCTCGCTGAATAAATTAATAATTACCTCACATCTCGGTCGGATCTGACGCCTATGACGAGAATAATTCATGGAGCTATCTGTTTGTCTTGCCTTGGTCCGTGGCCTCTACCCAATGACCTCTGGGAGCCTTCGATCCACGTCCAGGAAGATGGGCGCATCACGTACCATCCAGTGTAATCAAATGGCTAATTTGTTTTTTACATGAAATCAAGCAGTCTGGATTCAAAAACTTACAAGGAGCACCTATTCACAGGTTTTACAAAATGAGGACATAGTAATTAAAATTAAAAAATATTTAATTTTAAAGAAGGAGATGTTCCGATGTGGCGGTCATAATAAAATTTGAAAATAGAGAAACAAATATTTTATTTTAAGCTAACTTTTCGACCCAAATATGCAGATCTTCTTCAGGGGTGTGGCCGACATGGAGTTTCAATTGAAATTCCATTGTAACTGCTTTTGCAGTTTCAAAAGGGTAACTCCATGCCGACCACATCCCAGAGGAAGCCCTGCGTAGTTTGGTCGAAACGTTAGCTGAAAATAAAATAGTTTTTATACTATTTAAAGCTTTTTTATGACCGCCACCTCGGACCATCTCCTTCCTAAATATTATGCAATGGTCAACCATTTAGTACTAAAAAAAAAATGTCCCTGGACATAAAATGTTTGCAACAATGTTATCCCTCTGAATTCGGACCAGTTCTTGATTGTAAATCGTTGATCGGGGTCTGGCACACCCCAGGATCTTACTAATTAGTTTATTTATTCGTTATTAGTTATTTCGAATATTTTTTTATAATGAAGAAATTTTGATATAAAGATATTTTGATGAAACCGTTTAAATAAATATTTAAAAATAAGCAGAGAAAACATATTTAAAAACTATACTTATTTTAGTAAAAACATTATACATATTTTTTTTAAAGGACTTATCCAAACATATGAGTGACTTCATATAAAAGGCATTTGTCCTTTTCAGAAACAGGAAAAACAGTCAATTTTTGTTTTATTAGTTCAATTCAAACTGTTTCTAATGATTTTATTCAAGAATGTTCAAGTTAAATCATATTAAAAAAATCATTAGAATCGGTTTAAATTGAAGCTATCTATATTCCAAAAAATGGCTTTTCTAAAGTTTTGACCGATTTCAGTATTTGATATTAAGCAACTCATACATTTTCAATTTTATTTTTTAAGAGAACGTGTAAAGTTTTGATATATCGAAATAAAAACTTAAATAACTATTCATTATTTTTTTGTATTATGTTTTAACAAGTATATTTTCAACTTGTAGACCTCCTCTAATTAATGGAGTATGGTACCTAACTTCTCACGAGGACTATTAAATTAAATTTATTTAAATTAAATAGCTTCAAATACCAAAACTTTAGATTACTGCACCATTAATCAAGATAACATACAATCAAAATAAACACAATACAGCGTCATTGGAACTCAGCTTTCAGCAAAAGCCTCAATGTCAAATCAATAGTAAAAAGTACCTACAAACAGAATACAAAAGGAATTATTAAAGCAACAACAATGACAAAAAAAAAATGTATTTTATCAAGATTACACAGTAAAGCCAAAGTCAAAGATAAATTAAAATATCTTTAAATTTACTATATGAGACCCCTTATTTGATCAATTATGGAAAATCTATATTTTTGGAGTTTCAGAATAGTATTTCAAACAATGAGAATACCAACACAAATAAGTTGCACGTCTACAACATGGAACCTTAATAAATCATAACGCTTTCATCATATATTTCAACAAAATAAAGACCAATTAAAATTTAATTCACCTAAGGTGATAAATTACTAAGGAAACAATTTAAAACGCAATATTATGGAAATTATTACATTACAATAATATAAGTATTAAGCCATAATATATATAATTGAAATATATAAAATATAATATATATATATATATATATAAATATTATATATTTATATAAATATATAATATATATATGTAGTATATCCAATAAATCAATTAACAAAAGAAGGTGTTAAAATAATTAAGTCGTGGTACAAACTCGTTTTATCAAATTATAACACCACGCCTGAAAGTTCTAAAAAGCATTCATCACACGTCAACCTACAAATATTTTTATTTCGAAAATTCTTGAAATGTTTGGCGTTTACAATCGGAATCGTTAAACTTTGTTTGGTTAATTAGGTGCTAAAAACTCGTAAAGACCCATTTTCTTTCCACTTGGATCGTAAGATAATCGGAGCACACACTCCAGAAAAAAAGTGGCCTTCAAAACTATTGAGCAGTTTGGAGTGACCTATACCCCTGTCAAAATAACGAGGTTGAGCAGGCCGAACGGCTCAATATGTTTCTAGGCCACCCTTTTTTTCGACTTTGTGACAAAATTATCTTACGATCCAAGTGAAAAGCAAATGGGTATATACGATTTTTTAGTACCTATTTAAAAAGAAAAAGTTTGACTAACTCGGGATTGAAAACGCCCCAATTCCAAGAGTTTTCGTAAATAAAATAGTTTTAGATTACGATAAGACGAAGGTATTCACGAAGTTTCAGTCGGATGTTATTAATTCGATAAAAATGGGTCTGTACTACGGACTGAATACACAACTCAACTGAATCGGTAATAATATAATTTACAAACTGACATAAACTTCCAACTGAAAAAAACCTAAGGTCTAAGAAAACTAAATAACTTCCACTTCTATCTTACCTCTTACCATTTCTACACAGTCTCACTTATTCTTAGTACTATAGTAAAACATGTGCAGGTTTAGTAATAATTTCCACTCAAACCTTCACTTGCAAAAATATTCGGCCATTTGGCCTATATGACCTCGTTATTTTGACATCCTGGGAATCGAGTTCACGCCTAAACGCCAAATATTTTTATAGGCCACCTTTTCCCTTTATTTTTCCTTTAGGCAAAGTTTTCCCATCTATAAATTGAAAACTCTTCAATTCCAAGAATTTTCATAAATTTGTTGATTACGCTGAGGTGAAGCTATTTACGAAGTTTTAGATGGATGTTAATAATTTGATAAAAATGACTCTTTACCACAGGTTATAAAGTATGTTTCATTTAAAGACAAGAAAATAGAAACCAATATTTATAAAAATAAAATTTTAATTGGACATTGGACCAATACAAGTGAGGATTGAGCAAACAATTTCGATATTTGACTATTAATTCAAAAGCTGAAAGTCACACGTGTATTGATCCAATAGATACTTATAAATGAGCATTTTTTTATTACTTCTAGATATAATTTTCAGGGTCACATGTCACCTAGGAACAAAAAATGAAAACGAGATTTTCTCACATTACTACTATAAATATTTCTTTTAAATTTAAATCTTAAATTATAATTCTAAAGCTTTTAATAAATATTCTGTTGCAAGAGAAGTGATTCTGCCAAGTCATTTCTTTATAAATCAACGAGAATAACAGAATACCATTTAACTTCTTTTACCAACTTTTTAAAACATTTTCAGGTATTATATTAATATTTATAATCAGCTACTTCTATATTTACTAATAAATACATTATGTAAAATATCTTATTAACCTAAAGTCCTGAATAATATTATTACTGATAAACATATGTACATATTTACAAGTCATGTAAATATTTTTATTTGTTGGTCTTGCAAGAATCGATGTTTCTTTGTTTTCTAAATGAATAATTTTAATTTTCTACTTTTAATTATATTACGTTTTGGAATATCTTATATGCGAAATTTCTTATTCAATGTACAGAAATATATATTTTTCATTGACGATTAAAAAACAGAATAATAATATAATAGTTGAAATATTCTGTAGTCGATTTGCAAAATAATAAAATAAAATAAAATCCTCCATTATTTCTCCTTTTAATTTAATTTTTAAAAATAACTCCAAATATAGTTAGTTATAGATTCTGTGATTCTATAAAATTATATTAGACTTTTATAAATAATTTTTATATTAAGAAAGAAAAATGAATTGAATAATAGAGCAGAACGCTCAAAAATACGAATCCATGAGTTTATTGATAAATAAAACTCAGTAGTACCTAAATCATATTTAATTGTGTCATTACATCAGAAAATGCAGGGAATAAAAATACTGAATTTAAACCTGATTTGTAATGTAAACATAAAATACTCGCTATTTAGTTTTCCTAATCTTCTACGACAGCAATAGCTACTTGGCTGTCTACGTGCTTTATCTAACCAGTTGCAAATAATAGTGAAATACAACTAGAAGAATAGATCAGATTAAAAACTAACTTTCTAGCATATAAATATTTTATAATATAAATAAAATTAATCAATCAAAATGAATTAGTATATATTACCTTTGTTGTTGCTCAGTTAACGCGTATCTATATGTAAAATTAATACTAAAATAGATTGCTAAGTATGCCACAAGCTCCCTCCATACTAATTTGTATACACTGCCTCGCCACCTGGAAAAAAAAATCTTAGTTAACTATCTATATAATTATAATTATCTATATAAATAAAAATATAAATGTTCGTTTGTTCAACACTGCTGAACTTCTTCACCGATTGAAATTTTGACATTACGTTTATATCCGATTCAGGAGTGTTTTTATATACATTTAATTACCACGCGGCCTTTCGTTTCGGAGAGGCGTTTGAAAACACAAGTGTGTCGCTATAGACCGTAGCACCTAAACGGCTGTAACGATTTTAATTAAACTTAGATAAAGTCTTCTTCTTGAAGCTCTTTTAATTCATGCATATAACACGATTCTTCGAAAAAAAGTTACGAACTATATTTGCAAATAACTCAAAAAGCATACAATTTTGATTATCCACATGATCAGTGTTGCCCAAATGCGAGACCAAGACGAGTCTTGGTCCTGCGCACCCAGTCTTGCAATCACCTATTAGCTTATTACTATAGAGATATTACTGTAATTTTTTAGATAGAAGAAACCTAACTAAGCCCGAATGAAAAATTAGAAGAGTTACATGCAAAAGTATATTGGTTATACCAATTATTTACATATACTAACTAAAATTGGCAAGTATGAATAACAATTTTGCCTCAATTTTATTCAAAAAATCGATTTTTTTTACCAACGTCAGTTTTGGTATTGCAACAGTTAGGCGGTCTTGGTCTTGGTCTTGCAAAGTGCAGGACTAATCAAGACCGATTTTGGGCAAAACTACACATGAATATTTGAAAGCTTCCTGAATTCCCTGAAAATAGAAAAAAAATCACGAAAATCGGACGATTTGGTGCAGAGGTATGTTTTAAACATTTAGTATTTTTAAAGGAAGGAGATGGTCCGGGGTTGCGGTCATAAAAAGGCTAAATAGTGGTAAAACTATTTTATTGAAAGCCAACGTTTCGACCCGACTTTGCAGGTCTTCATCAGGGCTAGAACGGACAAGATACAAAAGATAGCCCTGATGAAGACCTGCAAAGTCGGGTCGAAACGTTTTCTTTCAATAAAATAGTTTTACCACTATTTAGCCTTTTTATGACCGCAACCCCGGACCATCTCCTTCCTTTATAATGCAACGGTCAACCATTAAATATTCAATTTAGTATTTTTCTTCGGAGATTAAATGACGGCTCGCTTCCCGCATGGAAAATTATCTGTTGCGTATTCAATGGTTGGAAAACCAGTCAATATATTTAAGCAAAGAATAGAACAACAAAAAATATTGTATATCCACAAGAATTGTGAAATAGAATATATTAGAAACATATGGCTTTTATTTATTTTTCTATTCGACCAGACTGAAACACGGCAACGCGTGGCCGGGTACAGTTAGCAGTATATTATTTTATGAAGGGGCTTTCGGACCGAAATCCTCCGAATATCGAAAAATATTTTTTCTTTGTTTTTATTAGTGATCTGAGCTAAATACTTATTCAATTAGATTATATTATCTTTTTCAATTATAATGGATATATAGCTACTAAATGTAAGCAGGTTTCAAGAAAAAAATATCTCTAAAACCATTAATATTCCTGTAATTTCCTTCTTTTTCTTCCAGTGTAAATACCGTTATAAATATAAATATATATAAACAAAACCACCCAAAATTAAATCCTGGATCCGATACTGTGTTTAACTAATCGTATTAACCAGATACTAGTAATGTTAATTTCTTATCTACGTTCCGGTTTTTTACTAAAAACCCGTTATTTTTTTTTTTCAGTTACCTTGATGTGAAATGTGTTGTTATACCGAGTAAATGTCAGTTCCGCGAATGTTGTCTGCTTTCCTCCGTCACATCATTGTGGAAAACGAATATTTTATGCAACATGTTACTTTCGAAAAACTTTTTGGCTTTCTATCCTTTAAAATAATAGTAAGCATTATAATAGTGCTTGATCAATTTTAGTATTGGAGAACTCTAGAACGCAGAGACAAGAGATTTTATGAGAAAATGTAAAACGAGTTTATATTTTTCTTTTCCTTTAGCTGTATTAGGTCCCCAGCTTATTTTTATCACCGCTAAAATCACTAGTTCTCCTACTAAAGCTTCCTGAGATTACGGTGTCGTATTACAACGGATAATAACGTCACGCATGTTATTTTCATAGGTTTAAATGTACACAGTTTCTAATGGCATATTGTTAAAGCTCATAAGAAAACTTCATGCATCGATTTATTCTGGTATTAAGCCAATGATACGCCACTATGCAGTAGTAACCACCATAACCGAAAGTGGTATTCCTGATTGGATTCCTGAGTATTTTTTATTAACCATCATATTTGCCCATGGAATAAATGCTTAAAAATAATCTTATTAATTAATTTTCAAATAATCATTATTAATTAATTAAACAAAAATATGATAGAATTTATTTTTATTTCTTCTTCACTCTTTGCCTTATAATTGTAATTGAAGAAAACTAAAACTTGTAATTTATAGTATTTTTGTAAATTCTCCTTAGAGGTTTTGGGTATGTTTCATTCCTCTCTGGAGCATCTAATATACACCAGTATTGGTTGAGATGCAGAATATGAATGTTAAAAGTCAATCAGTCATTCACCAAATTCTGAATAAATGAATATTTATGAATATTATTTGTTAACGAAGGGATGCGACCATATTAGTGTTGCCCAAGACCCGTCTCAGTCTCACATTTGGGCAACACTAGACCATATGAATAGGGTTGGCAATAATCATAATTTATTAATGTCAAACATTTGACAACTAATGTAAAAATAACGATTAATTGGGCTTCTTAACATCCAAATATCAACTTAATAAATAAAAGCATAAGTACATAGAATATGGTAAAGTGTAGTATAGTAAACACTACATTTCTTCATAAGTGACTAATAAATTCGATAAAGAAAATACAATACCAAGTTTTGGTCATCTAATATAGCTATAAACAGATCGATAATATCATTCATTGATGTACATCGACAAAACTAGCACATCTAATGCTAGGCATCTAATGCATATTTGATGATTTCCGGGGAACGTCCAATAAATAAAAAAAATGAAACCTATAAGCAAATTTTGAAGAAGAAATAAGAAATAAATATGAGAAAGAGATAGATATTTTATTAGAAAGAGCGGTGTTGAGCGCTAGTTAAAAAATTACATATTTGACACAAGCATGCAGTAAATATCGAACAGAAAAGGGCGACCACAAAATAAGAAATACGTGAGTCATTTGTTTTATGAAGTATTTTAATGTTTACACTTGTAGGCTTTTGCAGTGTGGCTGTTAATATATGATATTTCTCTAGAGAAACTTTTCTTTGATATTTATAAGTCGTTCTGAAAACGGTTCCACTAATGACACATTAAAAAAAAAAAGTACATCCGAATCGAACTACGTCAGTTAATTAAAAATATACAATCGACTGTAACATCTTGTAGAATACAGACCTCTCCTCTCTTAACTTACGCTACAAGCGACTAATCTATACTCTTTTTATTGCTTCTACCTGACCATCATACTAAGGTTTACATTTTTTGTATATAAGGATGAAAATTTGAACTTCAGAAAAAAAATACAGCTAAACAATTCAAGAGTTTATGCACCATGATTTATTTCAAAGCTCAAAGGGAAAACTTCTAATATTTTTCAAAAAAGCAAAAACTTTTGATAAAAAAAGGGGGGAGATCCACAGGCATTATTATTCTTAATAATAGTAAATCTTCGAGAGACATTACTTCCATTCCAGCAACCCAAGATTCGAAAATGTTTTTACCAATAATTGCATTTTTTTTTTTTTAGTTACATAAATTTGAAAAGATCCATTTTTCTTTGAAAGGTTAATTTTTTGTAGTCATATCGTGTTTTATTCATAATTTATCTTAAATTTGATCTGACTATTGTCTTCTTTCATTTAAAAATATACATTTTCTTTTCTGTACCTTCATTCATACCAGTCATGGATGTGAAAATTAGCAAATGTGTTGTTTAATTTGATTTTGGCAGTTCAGGCATGAAGAATTAGTATCAAGTAGCAGTTGTTATGTTTGAGAATTTCATCATGGAAGCAGAATTAAAAAATAGAAATGTGTCGTTTATTTGGTGATTATAAGTCCTAGAGCATCTTAATATTTTTGATTGAAAAGATTCTTTAAGTACGCATTTTTTGGCTAAACCATAAATCTGTAAGACGTATCTCCATATGGATATGTACCTACAGCCGTGGTCATAGAAATTGGATCACCCAGAAAAAATGTTAATACATTTTATTTTATTTACCAGATTGTAATCTGCAAGATCTCTGGATATTTCTTTGCCAGTTTTGAAGCGACATTCTAAAAACAATCGCACCATTATGCGGCCATATCGTTTGTTTGTTATTTTCTCCTCTCAGCACCTTACTTTCGATCCATAATGCCCAGAGAAAGATTTTTTTTTTTCAAATCTGTGACTACTATTGGTCACTATTTTCCGTAAAAATCCTTCACTTCATGTAGCGTCACAATTTTAATATTTTCTGACGAGGACAGTTTTTTTTTACCATTCATAAATGCAGCTTTTATATTGGTGTCAGTTAAAACTGGACCGAGAAACATTGTTTAATTTTTTTTTTCATATTTTCTTATTTACTTTCCTGACAAGGTTCAATGTCTTGAAATTTTCTGCAGGTTTGTATTATGAGGAGGCTCATGTCTCATTATTATTTCTGGTAATATACTTGATTTCCATGTAATGACTTGGTGATGAGGCTCACCTTTTTTTTTGATATTGTTTAAAGTTTTCTAGTAACCTGAATAAGTAAAGAAAAAACAAAAACATTCCATGGAATGAACTTTATTAGTATAAGGATCAAAAGAAACAGGTGACACAATATCTATGACCACGACTGTATATGTATTTCATTAAAATTTTAACATTATTATTTTGTCTTATGCCTCAATGGAGGCATTTATATGTATGTTCATAATTTGGTTTTCAATTACATTTAATTATCTATTTACTATATAAAAGTAATTTTTTTTCTCTTTGCTTCCA